GCTGCAGATGGAGCTGGGCAAGATCGGCGAGGAGTACCGGCAGCTGCACAGCAGGTCGGTGCCCAGTGCCCTGGCCCTCCTGCTGCACCTGCCTGGCTCCGAGCAGGCCTCTCTGCCAGGGACCACCCTGGGGCTCTCGCAGGGTGAGCAGATGGGAGCGTTGCTTGCCAGCCTCTCTGTGTTGGGGAAGGAGTGCTCAGTGCTGTCGTCTGCCCAGAACAGGACAGTGGTTACACCCCAAAGGCATGGCCCTGGGTTGGGGTGTCTTGGGTTAGCAGAAGTCCTATTGTTCTGAAGATGTGCTGAAGGGGCATGACTGGCAGTGCCTATGCTGTAATAGGCACGGGGCTCCCCCAGAATTTGGGTGTTGGGTGGCCTTATGAGGACAGCATTGTGTTAATGCAGAGCTGACTGGGTTTGGCACCACACCTGTGTTTATACACATTCCAGAAGCTGCTATCTATGCTTGAAAGCATCTAGAAACTTATGGAGGTAAGGGAAGGAGTCTCTGCATGGAGTCAATTCACATCTTTGCTGGGCTTTTTAGCTCAGATGTTGCTTAGGGGGGAATACACAGTGAAGATAGTCCTGGAAGTGGTATAGCTTACCTGCTCCAGGCTGGTACTGAGCACAAGTTGTCCTAGTGACTTTCAAGTCTTGCTTTACATGCTACCAGGATGAGCTGCCTGTTGCTTCAGGCTTGACTTTCTTGCAAGGTGTGTGTCTGGAGCCTGGAATTGTCTTGTTATCTAGTCTCACCAAGCCTAGAATAAAGGGATAGCCAGATATAAGTGCCATCAACATTTCTTGAAGGAGGAAAGAAGGTGGGATAGTGAGGGGAGGGAACAAGTGTTCAGTCCCAACAAGCTTCCTTTATGGACACATGCAGAGTTCTAACATGTCTAGTTATTTCAATGTCCCATTGTATTGCTGAATCAGTTACAGACTTGGTATAATTTGGATGTCCACAGACACCCTAAATCTTGTTATAAATTTGTATCATAGCAACTGTAGACACTAGCTTTTTCTTTTAGCACTTGTGTAGAGTAAATATTGTCCCCTCATAAGCTCAGTAGGACTGTGGTAGCTGTTCTACTTTAGGAAAAAACATTTTTTTTAAATCTAGGCTTCTCTTTTTGGCTGCTTAGAAATTTCTGGGCTTGTTTCATTCATGCTGGGTTTTGGCACATAGTTCTGCTTCATAAATCTAACCAGCCACTTGAGTGGACAGTGAGGAGAGGGGTAATTCCTATTGTAAGACTTTTTTTCTGCTTTGTTTGTAAGCTTTGTGGCTTTGTTTATAAAGCTTTAGGCATGGCAGGTATGCGATCCTCTGGACTTTTTTTCTTTAAAGTAACTATGTCTTAAAAATAGTTAACTTTACAGCCAATGGGGAATGATCCATAGTACACACTGTTTTTTGAAAGGACTGGACTGGAGTCTTAATGAGTGTCTTGTATTTGGGTTGTCTAACTGCAAAAGTCTCAGATGACTTGGGAGGAACAACTTTGAGAGTATTGTGCCCTTTATATATACAGCCTTTAAATAACCTGGAACTCTTATAGGATGGAATGTCACCAGATAATTTCCCAACAGCATTGACCATTGGCTGTTATTAGTTACTAGTAAAGAGATTTAAAGTTGCAGCAACAATGAAGTGTGCTTGCCTTTCAGCTTTTTTTCTTACTATGTAGACAGTGGTAACTGGAAGTATGCCAAAGATGTTTGGGGAGGAGGAGTTGTGGATAAGCATATCAGTTGGCTGAATTCAGAGCCTGGGGAAGGTCAAAGCAACTACAGTAGCACAGCAGAGAAAGATAAGTTTATTTCTGTACCAGTGAGTATAGATGTGCATTTTGCTACTGAACCCAGCACATGCAGTGTAGCAAGCTGGAGCTATAAGAATGAACTCTGCGAGGGCCCCTCTGTCCTCTAGTTTTGGAAAACTGGAGTCTGTTTTAAGCATACTTTAATTCTTTAGTAAAATTATTTAAATTCTCCAGGTCAGGCATGTGTGACACCCTGGTTTACAAGGAATGTAACTGGCAGTGCCCCAAAGTTATTGCGTGTAACTGATAGTGAAAAAGGCATGCTTAGTTCTAGAATGGTTGGTATATTGAATGGTGTACAGTACTGTAAGTGTTACTGCTTGCTGCTCAACAATGTAGTGTTTTGAACTCCAGACTTGGTTTAGAAGGATAGTGAGTGCTCTTGTCAAAGCTAGAGTTGCTAAATTGTTGTCCTTAAAGATTAAATTACTCCAATGTTCTCTGAAAAGAAAATTTGTCAGGAAAGAATATAGGAACCCTTAATCTGACTCAGAGGCCTGCATCAGAAAAGTGGAGGATCAAACCAAAGAGTTAAACACAGATAGTAATGGAATTTCAGTCTGTTTTTCATTGCTACCCAAGTAGTTACTTTTATCTAAACTGAGTAAAAAATAACTTCTGCTGGCAAAACACTTAGTAGTTTTGCATCATGGTCATGCAGTATGAGGACACAATCAAAAAATGTCTCTAAACAGCAGGCTGAGAGAGGAAAACCTTGGTGTAGCCAGTTGCCCCAGGCCTGTGTTGGAACCAACTATACCTTATCCCTTCCAGCACGTTTGCCTAACCCATTTTTTAAACTCCAGATGACAGCGATTCCAGAATATCACACACCACACACACACCCCACCCATCAATATGCTTTAGTGTTGAACTAGTGTTAGTTTCCTCTCACTAATGTCTAACCCAAATATTCTTCCCTGAAATTTTGGCCTTCGACTTCCTGTCACTTCTACAACAGACGTGGAAAACAGATTCCCTTTCTCTATGTAGCAGCCTTTCATGTATGTAATGACTGTTATGTCTTCTGTCACTTTTCTCTTCTCTAGACTAAACAACCCTTACTTCTTTTCCAATTTTTCCCTGCAGTCCAAGCTTTCTAGAGCAAGTCACTCCTGCAGAATGACTTTGGATTATCTCCAAGTGGTTTGCTCTGTTATCAACTGGAAAACTCATTGTATGAATTATCACAACTTAGCTACTTGGCAGAACAGATTTTGCTAAAATTTACCTTTATAGTCTCAAATCTGAGTTTTGAGCAGGAAGCCAGACTCTGGACAGTCGTCAGGCGAGGATTTCAGAAGTTAGAGCAGTCTGGGGAAACTATCTCCTTTTTCTGACAGGAACTCACTGTGGGCCCAGCACTTCTCTACTTTTGTGCCAAGTAAAACTGGCAGCTTAAACAACAACATGGTTATCCAGTTGGTACCTGGGCATTTGAGTAACGAAATGGTCATCTTCTGAAGGCAAAGCTTTTCTGGCCCTGTCATTCTGCCATGGTGTGAAGGAAGGAGGTTGCTTGTGACCCTTCCTGAGGGAGAACAGTCCGTGGCAAAGGTGCTGTGGGGACTCGCTGCCCAGGGGCAGGAGCTGAGGGGCTGTTGAGACAACAGCCCAGAGGGGTGTGCAGGGCTGGCAAGGCCTGCTCACCGGGCTGGGCTGGCGGCCTCCTGAGGACACATCTGTTCTGTGTGCATGAACGTCCCCGGGGTGTTGTGAGGGAGGAAGAACCGACGCTCTGTGGCAGCCAGACGTGCGTCCTGCCCCTGCCTGTGTGAGGCGGGCGCGTTGCCCCGTGTGCCCAGCGTCCTGCCAGCCCCGCCTCAGCGGGGCTGTCCTGTCACT